AATACGGGAAGCGCAATAATAACTGTCGGCTTTCAAGACGTACACCGGTATAGTGGCATGAAAGAGAACTTGAAGATAATCCCACTCGCAATGTGCTCCATTTTGCGAACTAATTGTCCATTTGGTCCAAGCTCCTTATTCACGTCACAGTTACATAATAGGATCCGTGCATTAAACGAGCGTAATTAAATAACAGGTATTAACTCTTAAGAGCGTAGCATATTATACGTCATAATCTTCCATCATATAGACCTTTGTCCGTGACGTTTCTGTGAAATATTTTACATACAAGTAATATACCATACCCACCTAATATAACATATTCAAAATATGTCCGTTATTTCAAGTCATAGGAAAAAAATATTATTTAGAAAAGTTACTCTTACAAGTTAGGGATGGAATACCTCGTACGTATAATATGATATAAAATTTTTAAATAAAAAAAAATGTTTATAAAAATTTTACTTTTTAAATGAAACTTCATTTTAAACTTTTTCTTGCCATCTTTTATCTTCTATTTATCTTTCATGAATTTCTATAAACGTTAATTATTAATTATTTGTGTAAAGAGAGTAATTAAGAACGTTATTTAGTTAAGAACTTTATTTTAACGATAATTTTGTTTGCCAGACAATTGGCGATTTTATTTTGATAATATAGAAATTCATTTATTAAAGTGTTTCTCACGATTATTACCGCTTGTAAATTGCAAGCACGATCAACGCGAACAATGACCCGCATTATTTGAATGACACTCGATGAGACATTTAAACCGGCGCTTTGTTCACCGTGTCTGCTCTCTAAAATTTCGCCACGCTAACGAGCGTATTGTAAACAAAATCGAAGCTATCCGATCCTCTTGTCTTTGACTGTCAAAGCGCAATTTTCCCTTCAAGAATCTCTCGAGGCGATCACTCGTGTCCTCAGACGCCGCGAATTGAATTGCAAAGAAGTCGAATGAGGGACTTGCAAGAAAATGCATAAAAATGCATTTTCCCCCAATCGATCGCGAGCGCCTCAGACGGCAATCAACGCGTATTATGCGAATGCAGAAAACGCGTCCATCTATTACAGTGCCGCGATAATCTAGTGTAGTCCATTTTAACACTCCATATTATGGATTACTCCATATTAGATTGAGTGTATCCGCCGCGGAAATTACGATGCCTCCTGCGAAGCGCGATATAGACAAGGTTGTCGATTGCTGTTCTGTGCGTAGAGTTTCCTTTAGATCCAAATAATTACGGCGCGAGAAAGCACCTAATTGATTCGTCGCGGAGCAAACCCCTCCCCGACACGAAGAAGGCGTATGAGGTGCAGCATCCTATGGGACGTGATTGCAATCTACGCCTGGAGAGAAAGGAGACCAATAGCGTTGCGTTCAACGTACACTTTTCAGCCTCGCGGGATTCCAATCGCAAAAGTCGTATGCGTGCGCGCGTTTTCCTTCTGAATTAAGGGTACGCTTTTTCCGCTCCTTTGTCGATCATTAAGAAACCGAGTGACTTTCAGTAAAAATAACATATCTTTTATCGCGTATACGAAACTCAACTTGGAAAAACTATCTTAAGAAGCTATTTCTATGTTCTTACAAAAAAAAAAAAAGAAAAAAAACACGATAGAGATTCATCTCGTCGAAAATCATAGTGAACGCTTTTGCGTGCAAATGTGCAAGTCATGCGGTACGTTCACACTTCTGCGCAACGTTTCAGGGGCGTCGGGCTGGAGTTCACGGGGCTTCTGACCGGCACCCGGCACGCGAGATAGAGCCATAAAACCCTGGAAAAAATAAGGTAAACCATCGGCCGAGCACTTGACACCGGGGGTTTATACGCGTTACTCTTCATACCTCGCGCATCTGGTCGAAGCCGGATCGAGGTGAGGGGGCGGTTTGCCGAGGGGCTCGCGGGAGGAAGGGCAGGATGTAGGAGGATGTTGTTGTTGACCCACGGGGCAGGAACAGGTTTCGAATTCGGATTATGCCGATCCGAAACTGCTTCTCCGCGCAACACACGGCCGTTCTTCTTACGACCGTTCCCGGTATACCTAAACGCCGAGATGTGTGCGTGCGCGCATCGACCCCCCACGCAATCCTATAGTAAAAGCGTTCCTCCGATTCTCCTTCTTCGTCCTTGAACCCTCCTCTCTCGTCGCTCTCCCTCTCGAGGTAGCTCAGGCGAGAGCGGCCACGTTGGAGTGCTTCCACCGAGAGAGCCTCTCCCGATAATATATATTCACCTTCGACTCCGCCAGAGCGGCAGCAGGTAGCGGGGAACCTAGATCGTAAATGCGTAATCATCCTGTTCTCGAAATAAGACGCATAAGGGCACGATCGGAGAGAAGGACGAAGAAAGATGTAGAGAGGTGGAGGAAAAGAGAAGCTCTCTCTCTCTCTCTCTCTCTCTCTCTCTCTCTCTCTCTCGTCTTCTTTTTTGTCTTCCCCTCTACCGTGCTCTCTCGATCGGGTCCAGTTTGAACGGACTCAAGTTCGCGGAGGGTTATCGTCCTTGAAGCGAGCCTTGGGACGGGACGTACTTCGTCACGGATGACAGGTCCCTTATCCCTTGGTCGCTTATCTTGCTCCTGTTTACCAACGGCAAGAAAATAGCAGTAGAAGAAAGGCACGGTTTCTTAAGCGCAGAGTCCAACCAAGAAACAATTTTCCGCGATACAATTCCAGGATACGAATACAGCAATAAAAAAAAGCATAATATAATAACAGTTGATGTTCTTCTAAATATTTTCTTTTATAATACAATTTTAAATAAATTTTTTCTGCGATTTTTCTTTGGATATTAAACTTTCAAATGATAATTACATATAAATTATAATATTTTTAAGCGAAGGAAGAGAATTTATTTTTACAAATATAATTGTGTCTCTATTTCCAATCTGAACACCTCCTGACCTATTTTTTAGAAGAGAATAATATATAAAATTCTTATAAATTAAGAATTTTATATAATTGAATTCCATATGATTTAGCACATATTATTACTTCAAATACTTTCTACATATAGCTATCTTATATATGGAATTTCCAAGGAGTTCGTGCGTTTAATTATCCAAAGTTTGTCGCCTGTAATGAGAAATTCAGTTCATTTCATTGGAATATGCGATTGGTGGTTCCAATCGATATTTGCTACAAGTGTCGCTTTCTAAAGTGCATTCAAAGTAATTTCAACACTTCTCATGAGACATACCTGAACGTGCTTTTAGTAACCCAAATAATACAAATTATTTACCAACTATCCTCATAATAAATGTGATATTTCTTATAGGAAGCGTATCGAGCATTCTTTTCTTCTTCTTTATCGAAACTTTATCATATATCATTATTTTTATTTACATATAATGTTTGAGAATGTACAGATCATTGAGATAAGATACGCATATGCGCAGGAATATCTTGTATAATCGCGCGAGAGATGTATAATCGTGATTCTAACGCGATGATTAAAGCGAAGCCGCGAACTTCTATGGTCAAGTAACGAGCAGATGTCAATTCATGGCGTCGTTAATAAAGCGAGGCTCTTAATACGGGCTACGGACGACCGCGAAGAGAATAAAGAGAGCTGGTTCTCAGCCTGTACTCTTGAAGTGCGCTTCGAGGGGGTTTTCGTTCCCGACGACGGCGCTACTTCTGCGGCATACGCACTTCAGATACACGTTCGTATTCACGGTGAATTTCTAACGGTGCCCCGCGTATGTACACATTAGAAATTGTTTACGATTATTACGCGCAGGGATCTCCCGCGGTGCAAATGTAACTTTGAGCGGCGAGGATTTTTCAACTAATAAAGAACGTGCGCCGCTTCCTCTTTCCTCGATCCCTGAAAATCACGCATCGCATGGCATCCTGGTAATCATTATCATCCTGCACGAAATATTATTTAATAAAATATTAATATTTATTTAATACATTTTTACAGAAATTTATACAAATTAGATTTTATAACATGTGTAAACATGTAAATTATCAAATAAAAAATTATCAAATTTTTAGCGATAATCGCATTTTTTTGTGATTTATAATTATAATATATAAAGTATATTTTCCATTCACAAGTAACAATAATTTTGTTTTATGTTTTTTGTAATATTTTTCTTAAAACATTAATTAACAGGTTTTACATTTATCGTAATATAGATTTGCTTTCTTATTTTCTTTCTACTCTACCTTCTACTTTTTACTTTTTCCCTTTCTTCAATTTTTTATACTTTTTTTCTCAATTTTATATATCCTTCTCCTTTTTTTCCTATTTTCATTGCTTTCAAATACGAGATATAAAAAATGAGATATGTGATGTGCTATCCCACTATTTTCCTACAGATTCATCTTAATGCGAGTAACGTAACATTGTCTTTTTGTTCCTTAATTATTTTGGTCCCTCCTTTCCCTTTCTCTTCTTGATGAATTTTCGACCACCAGAGTCGCAACAACACAGTAAATAAACTCAAAACAAAAAGAAAAAAAAGCACAAAGGTCCTATTCCACATTTTCAGCTACATACCTGAATGTTTTTTTTTTTTTCTTATTTTTATCATACTCCTTAGAAGATTATATTTTTTCATGCGTTATTACGCTTTAC